AAACATACAATCATTTATTAAGTTATCGTAAATATAATCAATTTAATGGAATTGAGAATAAATTTAGAGCCGATTCTGTAGTCAATAAATTCTTTATGTCCAGGCTAATAAATAATTACTAAAATCCAAACATAAATTAATTTGTTATCTGAACTAGTATTAAGGAAATGTATTTCAAAGTTATTCTAAAAAACTGTAAAAATGTATTTATTATAAAATTTTAGTGAATAAATAATATGTTGAATAAAATGTTTTCATAGTTTTAAGTCTAGTTTAAAGCTGAATACCGGTATAAAAAGTTTGTAAAACACATGTAAAAAGGGCTAATCATAAGAGTTTGTTTGAAAATATGAACTCAAAGAATGTGTATAATAAAAAGGACTTTAAAAGTACCCTGGTACAAACAGCGCTGTATAAGTGTATATAACTAGTTATAAGAAAACCAATTGTGTGTAAAAGCCCTCAAAAGTCCTTTTATTATTATTTTTACCATTTTTTAAAATGCTATCAAATATAACATAATCTCTATTCTCAACTCACTTTTGATTGCTTTTTCAAGACGACGAGCTCTTCTTCACTGCAAACAGGTTTCAACGACTCAAACAACTTGTGAATGGTATGCCTGAGCGACGGCACCGGCATTCGCGGCAATGAACGCTGAAAGCTATAGAGAGAGGGCTGGTAGCCGCTGACCAGTCGCAGTGCGATCGCCCAGAGCATCACTTTCTTGGATTTACCCCGGGATGAGATCTCGTTCATCCAACCCCTGTATGACAGCAATAGTCGTATGAAATATTGTCGCAGTATTAGCGCCACTAATATGAAACTGATGCCAAACACGCATGAGATGATCACCGCCCGCAACATTAGTGGCAAACCTATTGTTTTGGCGACAAAATTGATTGTCAATAAACGGCTTAAACAGATGGTGTGCTATGTTTTACTGGATATGATGTAGATTTGAAACCCAAATCTCCAGAGTCTGTCCGTCAATAACTGGGTGACCGACGGCTCGCAAACCATGAGTAGAAAAAATGCCGAACATATGACACACAGGTTGGACATGGATGTCGGCCACATGCCGTTCCGTATGGAGTTCCTGTTTGAGTATAGTAATGCATTTTAATAGCCAATTCATATGTGTTTTTGGTGAATATTTGTATATTTGATAATTTATTGTTATTTGGCATGGATTATTTAAATACTAGAATATTCTGATTGTTAAGAATAAGGCTATTCTTTGCGAACTCATTCAATATGTATATAAATAAGTGTAACAAAGAGTTTAAATATTTAATGTTTACATTAATTCTGTGAATTTTATTTTCGTGCAGAATATGTAATATAAAATACATTTTTTTGTCATTCAAAATAGAGTATTCATTTGTCATTCCGTGTTAAGCATAATAAGAGTTATAAACAGATGTAAAATCCATAATACAATCAAAATTCATTCAATATTAATGTGTAAATTAAATAT